CCATTTTCAGTCTCCCAACGTGCATGCACCCAACGCGGGTCCCTGGCCAGGTTCGCCCGCTTCCGACCGTCTACCTCCGCTGCGCTGCTCCCTTCCTCAACTCCGCCCGGCTTTTCCCACATCTGTATGCCTAACGCCGCYCGTCGCTCCCATCGTCTGCTATGCTTYGTYGGCCTCCCCTGCTACTCGCTTYCACCWCGCTCTTGCACTAGYTGYTGAATGCACCCGGCGCGATAGGCCGTCCGGGTTCATCCCCGTTCACTCACTCCKCTACTCCTGCCTGTCCGCASCGACGTCGACCATGCCATGCACTACRACAGATTAGYGCATCGCAWCTGTGCAAYGCGACACATTCGGATCTCAAGGAGACCGAGTACTCGACAAAAAAAGAAGCGGGGGCATTATCCCCCGATTTACACRTGTCAACCCCGCCCAGGGGCAATKCTAACCTTCTCTGTATCGTTCCAATTTTAACGGATGTCCCGAAGGACACGGCCTACGACACCCCGCGGCCTTGCGAAACGGCCCGGGGCAATAAGAAAAATTTGTTTTTGCCCATCAAGTTTCATCATCTGGGCCTGTATTTCAACAGCTCACGGATGTACCTACCGTGTTTTTCGCGTCCACATACGGGTGTGAACAAAATAAATAATAAATAATAATAATCAAAAATAAATTTATATATATATAAAAAAAGAAAAAAACCTAAGCGGTAGCCGGGCCTGAATCTCGGCACCCCTCCTAGCCTGCCCGTCAGTCCCACGCTCGGCTATTCAACAACAAAAGGCGAGGGGGATGGTCCCGCAGGCCCATCAACCCCTCAAGCCTTTTTCGCCTCGCTCCTCCGCTCCCTTGCCGCAAGCTGTTGGCCTCGATCCCTGCATCTGCTGCGTATCAGTCCGGTGCTGTAACCTATAGGGCTAAGCCCAAGCCTGGTACCAGCAGGCCTGACACGTCTTATAGAGAGTAGCGCACGACCCTTGGGGCCAAGGAAACGCCCTATACCACTTTCCCGGCCCATACTTGCACAAGAGACTACCCAAGAACTCACGTCGGCCTACCGGCCTCGCCACAGCTACTCGTCCTTAGCCAAATCCATCAGGTCTCATCATCTGGATTTTCGCGTAAGTTCATACCGGCTTAGTAAACCATCCTTCCCACCCCGCAGAACCAAAGAAACAAGGTACTCATGGCTAATCAGTTTAATCAAAACAAAAGTAACATATGCTGACKAAAATTCACGCGACGTCTGCCAAGGTAACCAAAAGAAGGAAAAATCACGCGCGCCTCAACTCGCGTGCCCACGCACTCTTCACTCTAATCAACCACCTAGTCAACATAAATTACAGACGCGGCCGTGCCTAGTATGGCATACTTAAGCTTTAAACCAAACTATTTTTCCGTTGTTTGCAAAGACCAGCTTGATCAGAGCAAGCACAGAGGAAGCATGACAACGTCTCCACAATCTCAAAACAAAATCACCGCCTGGTTCACAAGGCCGTGGCCTCCCAGCTTGATCAGAGCAAGAAAGTCACACATCTTGATGACATYTCTTAAAACACACAATTTGCGACATCCAAGAATTCCACCAATAGTCAAGCAAAATCTGGTCCCTCTCGTCAGTCTTTTATTACTCACAATCAACCTTTCACTTATCAATCTATTTAACCACCTTATTTATAGAGGAGGTCTTACTTTAATAGGTCTCTCAGTCATCCCTCTCTCACTAGGATGAACTCTCTTGCGACCTTTTCTTTAACGCATCTTCCTTCTCCGAAGATGCGTCTTCCAAATAGATAATGGACAACCTTTCCATTCACAGGTGTCCCACACATCATATACTCCATAAAAAAAGACCAACTTGTGGGTTTTCTGCACAACTCAATAATTGAATACTCACCATACGAATATTCAGGATCCTCACATCCTTTCACAAAACAGACTGCGCTTCCTTGCCTTATACTCGGCCCTCTCATCCGCCCATGGGCAGGTCGCGCGAGTATACCGGCGAGTAGACAGTTCATATGCATCCAAATTCACAAGGTACTAGATACATCAAGTATTTTCTCACACATATTTCACACCAAACCATCATCCATCAAACCAGGACCACACAAGTGAGTGTGAGAGTGATCGTCATATACAACAAGTAGTCCCCAAAAAGGGTCTCGATATTAAGTACACTCAGGGATAAAATGTCCCACATAAAATGTCATCCACATACACTCAGGGGCAGAATGCCCCATACACAAATGTCCCGAGATCGTAACCCACTCAACTCACTCAAAACCATGCCGTCCTCAAAACACAAGTTGGGTCTGTCTCTCGAAGATCAAGGCGTAGGCCACCTAAGTACGTACAGGCCTCATCTACCATGTCCCGGTCCTCAAGATGGCAGACTCAACAAAAACCCAACCCATACTGACTGACAACAGCTACACCACCTAGGTCTACAGAATATCATCAAATCCTAACTCTAGTCCTACATGCAAGATGTCAACCATATAGGTAACTCAGTCCTGATCGCTCATCTCCTCCTGGTTTTGCCTATATAGCTGAGCCCTACCCCCATCTGCAGATCTCTTTACTCTTCTGCCCTGTCTATCATACATCCTGCCTCCTTCCTCTGTAACCTTCCCTTCAGCCTTGTCCTTTAGGAACTTAGGACATTGCAAGGCTCGATGCCCCTCCTTTGTACAAAAGAAGCATGACGTATCGAACCACTTCCTGGACCTCTTCTTTCCTCTTTGAGCCCCTGGCGATGATGGCGCTTCGCTAGCCTCCCTGCTCAGCTCATGGCTCTGAGGCATATCCAAGGGCTCCTCTCGTGTCTCCACCTCCTGGGTACTCGGTCCAGGTCGGTCCTCAATCCCCTCTGGCCCATACTCGGGCGTGCCCAACCTCTGGAGCCCGCCCTCGATGACACCCTCAGCCTCAATCCTCATCTCCCTCTCAAGAGGCTCTTCTATCCTCCGCTCGGGTGAAAACAAACTCGCCTCCTCCTGCATCGAGTGCACCGCCTCAATGAGCACGTTCATAGATCCCTCTGCTGAGCCCTGAGCCGACTCACTTCTGGATGGTGGTAATCCCTCCTCATCTGCCAAAGGCATGACTGGGCCCGTCGTTGCTATAGGTAGCGTCGCGAGCTCAGTAGGGGCTCTGAACTCGAAGGTCTCTCTCTCTCCGCCTCCCTCTGGGCTCTCGCCTCCTCCGGCTCCAGGATAACTCTCCTCATAGGTGGCTCCTGATAAGTCTCTGTTGTAGGTGGTTGTCCTGGCAAACCATGCCTTGGCGGCCTCTGCTCTCCCTGTCGGCTGCTCTCTGGCTTGTCCACTTCTCCCTGAGATCGCTGCCTCAGGCTCTCGATGATAGCTGCCTGACTGGCCACCAATGCCCTGAGTTCTTGGATTTCCACCTCCATAGCCTCCAGGCGTACTCCACGGTCGGCTTCCTTCATCTTCTTCCCTACCAGATCGCTCCCCAACAACAAGTGTCGGTCAAAAGTTGTCTTGGTCAGGAACTTGATCTTACGATCCAACCTTTCTTCTGCCTTCCTTGCCACCCCAAACCCCGCTCTGGTTGGCGAAGGAAGCTCCTCTCCTCTGTGCTCCCAGAAGTCTCTCCACATCTCTGGGATGTCCGGGGCCTTGGCTGGCGCGCTGGGTGGCTGACCCGCGAGCGCCCCTGCTGCCTCCAATCTTTGTCTTTCCTGCTGCTGCTCTGGGAGTTCCCCCGCTGCCTCCAATCTCTGCCTCTCTTGTCATATCTCGTCTATCCTCCTGGTTCTTCTCGCCCTCTTTTCTTCAGCCGTTTCTCCAGCTGGCGCCCTTTCCCTCGTGCGGAGGTCAACCGTCTTCGGGATCTCTGCCTCCACCTCCTCCTCGGGCTGGCGTGGCTCCTGGCGCGGTTCTGCAAGTGCTGGCTCCTCTAGGTCTGGGTGCTCTAGGGCATGACCTGCTAGGTGCCTGTCAATCAGGGTCAAGGCTTTTCTCCTTACAGTTGCCCTCTCTCTCCTCCTTTCTGCCCTCCCTTCTAGCGAAGGAGCCTTTTCTGATGAAGGCAATGAGGCCTCTTCTCTTTGCAACTCTTCTCCCGCCTGGCGCGTGCTCACAAGTGCATCTCCAAGTCTCAAGCCTACTGCTGGCGACTGAGGGGGCGTGTCCTCTCCAACCTCTATCACCTCTTTCCCTGCACATCTCCCCTCATCGCCTAGCCCTCTCTCTTGCAGAGTATCCCGGACCCCCTCTCACATCATCCCCTCTCTCGGCATCCCCTCTCGTGGCACCTCCTCTTGTGGCACCTCCTCTTGTGGCACCTCCTCTCAAGGCACCTCCTCTCGTGGCACCTCCTTTACCTGCTTTCCATGCTCCTCACCCTGAGGCGACGCTCACCACCGAGCGACATCCAAATGCGCCTCCAACTCCCTCAAGGGCCCCTCAGACGCTGGTGGTTCCTCCTGTGCACGTGCTGGCGACCTCCTTATAAATCCACCCTCGGTAAAACGATGGAACTCCACTGGTCCCAACCCACACTCAGGGTACGCCCCTCACTCCTCAGCCTCTGGTTCTGGCTCCTCTTCTCTTCTAGCTAGGGTCCGACCTCCCCGAGACGGTCTTGCCTCCCTGGGCTCAGGGTCCCTCTGCCTCTGACTCCTCTGATGCCTCTCGACTCTGGGCTGAGGGGGCTCTGGTCGTCGAAATGCCTCTCTCAGATGTGCCCTGCAGCTCTCCCAGTCCCGGGCCAAGTCTCTAATCTGCTTAGCCAGTGCCCTGTCCGCCTTTCTGGTCTAGAAGGGTAACGTCCTCGCCCACTCATCTCTCGGTGTACCCTGCCCCTGCATGAACCACCCGAAGGTCGGGATAAAATCTGCCACGTTTTCGATCTCTAGACGGATCAGCCTGCCATCTAGTCCCACAGGTGAGGGTCGCAACTCCTCCATTCTCGTCTCCTCCTCCTACCTCGTCGTCGCCTCCCTATGAATCCTGGTAATGGGCTCCTCGAACCTGCCTGCTCCCCTCAGTCTCTCGATTGCCTGGGCCACGGTCCAGCCCATACGCCTCGCATGCTCCCACAAACTGTCCAGGAATAGCTTGATGTCCCCATCATCGTACACCGGAGTACTCTCTCGATAGCGAGACCCATGCCACTCATATCCTCCTGATGCCCCCAACGGCCTCCGAGGCGGCCGTGTCCCCTTCCCTCCTTTTGGCATGGCTGTCTTCGTAAAGTCAGACCTGCACAACAGGCGAAAGAGACAACAGACACACATTGGGGTAAGCAAACAGGTGATATTCAAAGCAAGCTCAGACGAGACCATACTCATGCATCATGCAACCTATCTGACCTACACAACCTATCGCTTCTATTATAAAGGTAGTCAGATCATCTCTCTTACCTCCTCTCTCGCCACAAATTTCTTCAATCTCGTTCCAGATACCCAATCCTTCCACTCAGTCTCATTTAGCTCCTCAATCTGGTACGCTCCGAAGTCTCCGACCCGTACGATCCGGTAGGGACCTAGTCATCTCTTATCGAGTTTCCTGGACCACTATTTTTCCAACGATGAATCGTACAAGAGTACGACGTCCCCGACTGACAGGGGTACTTTCCTCACCCGCGCAGACTGGTCCCATCGAGCCTTATCATCCATACGACTTCTTGCCACTTGATTGGACGCCTCCTGGATCCTTTCTTTTATCGCCCCTATCTGCTGCCCCCGAATGTTGAGCAATTCCTCAAAGGACAAGTCGACTTCCAGGTCCTGGCACCTCCAAGTCTTGAGAAAGTTTTCAATAGGGAAGGTGACGTGCCTTCCATACCACAGAGTGGCTGGCGCATACTTGGTGGATCTTTTCACTGTAATGTTCTCGACGAAGAAAGTCGCCCTTAGGTACCTTGGTCATTGATTAGGCCTACCTTCAGTCCACTTAGCCAGGAGACTCGTAATGGTACTATGCCCTCTCTCTACGGGAGCATCTGCCTGGGGGTGCGCGGCCGTGGTGTAGTTAACTACTACACCATACCTTGATAACAACTCCTGCACCTCCTGGCAAGTAAACTCCGATCCCCTGTCCATTACGAATTCCCTGACGAAAGGATAACGAAGGTAGTACTCCTCGATGCAGCTAACCAAGACTGAGTCTGTCTTGGTACGAATGGCACGCCCATCTACGAAGCAGACAAGTTATCGCGCGCATCGAAGATGTATTTATAGCCTTGATCCCCAAGCGGCATGAAAAGTAGGTCGAGATGCACTACAGCCCCCACCTCTCGCTCTAACCTTGGATGTAACGGCTCTCCTTGCCTCAAACGAGACCTCTCCTGGCAGGGTACACAAGATCAGCAGAACTTTCCAACCATGTCCATCATTCCGTCCCAGTAGTACAGCTCGCTTATTTTGGCATACGTGGCTTGTACTCCTCGATGCCCTCCTGCAATGCCGTCATGAAGCGCTGCTATAACGTCAATCTGACGGTTCCTACCGCAGACGACTCTCCTGGGATTCCCCACTTCCCTTCTCACGAAAAGGTGGCCGTCACGCACTAATCAGCGTTGTAGCATCCTCTGAGCCCTATCGCTTGCATTCCTTAGCCGCATCTCGCAAGACAAAAGAAGCCCCAACTCTAGGTAGATCCCATCATACTCCTCTGCATGAAAGGCCTCCTTAATCTTCCCCTCCTCGAACTCGTCGTCCTAGCTTTCAGGCACTTCGTCCACATTCCGTGCTGGGTTCAACGAGCCTGACTGGTCGAGGCCTTCCTGCAATAACGTGTTGACGAGGAGGTACATTCCTCCCATCAGATCCTCATGTCGTTCTACCTGGCCTGACCCTTCTTCGATCGTCTTCATGTCCTCCACCAGACTATGCGAACTAGCCAGTGCCAACTCCATCATCCACTGAATATCCTTGCCTCCCCAATGATCTTCTTCCTCAAAAGGTTTCAGGACTAGCTCAGCCCTCCGTTCGTACCCACTTGGTGTCTGCCAGATAGGATAGCCTACACTGCTGGGCACTCGTGGCGACCACTTGTTGATATGGAGACGGACATCTTCCTCTTGATCCAGAAATCCGTCAACTGGGGGCGTATTCTCCACCGCCTCCCCTTCCCGTTTATCCCAGTTGATACGACTCAGCCCATCCGCCCGGTTCTTGCTACCTGGAATCCGTTCCAACTCGAAGTTAAACATCCAGATGTACGTCAGCCATCTGGCAACCGTCGGATCCAATGGAACGTAATTCCTCAGAGAGTAGGCCAGGGCGGTCGGGTCCACTCTCAAAATAAACCTTCTGCCGAAGGTGTAGTTCCCGGAAGATCCGTAGACATTGGAGGACAGCAAGGGTCTCCCTTTTGAACTGAGAGTAGTTCTTCTCTGTCGTACAGAGAGTCCGACTCTCAAATCGCAAGGGTCTTTCCTTTCCTTCTATGTCTGCCTGAATTAGAACTCCTCCTAAGGCAGTCGGTCCCGCATCCGTTTCGACAACGAAGAGTCGCGTCTCCGTGGCATCATAATCTGGCGCCCCCAATACCAACCCTCCTTCTCGAAATTTCTCCTTCATTCTGGCCACCACTTTTTCTTGCTCTTCTCCCCAAACCCATTCCTGATCCTGACGAACTAACTTCCTCAGGTGTTCAGTCTTAGCGGAAAAGTTCTTGACGAAGGCCCTCCAAAATCCACACGTACCAAGGAAGCTCCTGACATCAGTTATTGAGTGGAATGGAACTAGCCACTCAATAATCTTGTCCGTCTTTTTCACATCTGGCCTTCGGCCTTTTTCGCTGCAGATGAACCCCAAGATAGTCGCTTCTCCCATGCAGTATCTGGATATGGTCCCGCTTGTCGTGAGGTTGTGCTCCTCCAGTAGACTCGTGACTTTATCGAGGTCCTGAATGTGTTTCCAGACAAAGCGCCTTACCCCCGGCAAGACCTCGTCGCTCTCCTTTATTGCTGGTCCCTTCACCGCCAAATCGTCGATGTGAGGCTGCGTGATATGGGGGCTGATTGACTGCATAGCTCGAATCATGGCCCGTTGGACCATTGCTACTGCGTTGGTCCACCCCTGTGGGGCCACGTTCATGTGGATTAGTCCTCGCGGCGTATGCATAGTGGTCACTAGCCTGTCTGGTGGGTAGACCGGGAACTGATCATATCCTGAGTAAAGGTCTATAAGTGAGATTATAGGCCTTCCAGCACAGGACTCTGACAGAGCATCCGCATTCGGCAGTCCTCCAGCATCCTGCACAGTCACCGCATTCGGCCTTTGCAAATCCTGCACCCACCGCAGCGTCCCATTAGGCTTGATGAAGCAGAACCACGGGGACGCATACGGTCCACTTGAATAGTCGGCGACGTGCGTACGTATCGTGCCGTCGAGGTAATCCACCACCTTTTTTTCCTCGTCAGGGTTAGGATATCGCGCCCCTCTCATGTTCCAAGGCTCATGTGGTACGGTATGGATGCGGATCATAGGTATCTTGTCCACATCCAGTCTGCCACGCTCCTCGTCACTAAACACATAGGCGTGATGCCTCCTCTTCATTAACTCCACCATCAACATTCGCTCTTGAGGCAGCAGGAAATTGGGTTCCCCTATAATCAACTTCCCCTCATTCCCTTCGTTGACACGACACGGCCCTGCTAGAGGACTCTCGCTCATTCGCTGTATCAACCCTCGTTCCCTCTCGTAGTATGCATCCTCATCTTCTGTAATGAGGACGGGAACCGGGTGGCACTTCTTGTCTACCGTCTTGTACCGCCTTTGGGAACCCTGCTTGAGCCGCCCCCTAAAAAAAGCCGACTCACAGACTGCGCTTGCGCTGATGCGGGGCCCTTCCCACCGCCTGGGAGCCGATATACCAGCTCCAACCTTCCTGCCTCGGGGCATTCCAGAACTTATTCCCTCAAGGTCTGGATGGCATCCGGATCTGCCATCTCATGTGCGGCCACCAAGTCCATGACCTTCCCGACGTCCGACAAGCTGAGGGAAAATGCTTTCACCCTCTCTCCTGCTTCTGGTTCTGCCCGAAGCCTCCGACGCTCACCTTCCGACTCTTCGATTGTGAACGACCCTGGATTAGGTCGGTTTCTTATACTCCTTGGCCATGTGTTTCTGCATGTAATTAGTTCGTAATTCCCGCAGGCAGGGTCGCATATGAGGAGAATTAACGTCCCGTCGTGCTTATTGAACATCACGGTCTTCGTCCTACTCAGGAATGACCTCCCTAGGAGGATTCCGTGATCCACGTTCGGCATGATGAAGAAACAGGCCCTGGCCTTCAACTTCCCAACCTCGATCAGTACATTTGAGGCTGTCCCACAGAATACGGCCTTGCAGCTGGCTCCGTGCAGAATACCGCAGTCAGAACGGTCTATATCCAACCCGAATCTGATCGCGTCCGCCTCCTAAATAATATTCATCTCTGCCCCGGTGTCCACCATGGCTGCGCACTTGGAACCCTTCACCACCAAATCCACCGTGCCGCAGGCTACGCACTTCCAGTCCATTTTTGTACCTGACTCCGCCCACTCTGCCTCCTTGGGCAGGATCGTACCCAGATGGACGTTGGGCACCAAGCGCCGTGACAACCTTCCTTTCAATTCATCGCGGAGCAGCGGGGCTGACGTCAGGATTTCCTTCAGGGTCATAAGATCGTTATGCCCTTCTAGCAGCCTGTCGATTACCCGCTCTACATCAAACCCCTCTTCCAACCGAACCGCGTACTTTTTTTTCTTGGGCGGTCCGTCACGTATGACTGGCTCGGGCTCTTCCCTGATTCTCTTTTTCCTTGCCCGCTGCTCCGCTCTCTGATCCTCTTCCCGGCGCAGCCTCTCGTCTTCTTCCTCCTCATCATCGTCGTCCTCCACCTCCACGGCCTCTTTTCTCCTTCCTGGCTCGGGTTCCCTCCTCGGACGCTCTTGGCTGACACTGGCTTTGGCTTGATTCCTCGTTCGCGCTGCTTGTGCCAGCCGGGCCTGCGGGGTGAGGGGTCTCCCCATCACCCCCGATTGTGGGCTTGACCCTACTACGTTTACTCCGGGTCGCCCAGGCGCTGACTCCGGGCCGGAGTCGTAGAGGAACACCTTGGGGATGCTAGACTTTCATTCCCTCACTTCCTCACAGAGGGCCACCAACTTCTGTTGGTACCTTCACACCTTGTCCAGTAAATCCTCCATCTTCCCCAATAAGACGGACGATGGCTCCATCCTTCTTTCCTCGTCCTCGTCGTCCGATTCGGTGACTATGGGTTCTTCCCTCTCGCTTCCCTCTCGCGGCCCTTGAGTTACTTCCTCGTCGCTTCCCACTTCCTTTATCCCAATCGGTGGTTCTTCATTTTCCTGCCATAATCTGAATCCCTCTATCCCCACCGATGGTCCTTTCTTCTCCTGCCATAGTCTGAATGTGGCAGGAGGTAGCGGCCCATCTGCCGCCCTTCGCTGGGTTTCTGCCCTCACTCCCCCGAGCCTTCTGTCGATGAACTCCCCAAATTGGTCATAGATGTTCCCGTCCATAGTGGAGGAAATCAGCCCGCTTTTCTCGTCCTCCCGCCTTATGTTACAAAACCTTATAGTGTGGCCTTGCTGGTCACAATGCTGGCAGATGGCCGACCTCCAATCAAATCGGGGTCTTTCGTATCCCTGACTTCCTTGATCCCCCAGGTCTTGGCTCCCTTGGCCTTGATACCCTTGGCCTTGGTTCCCTTGGCCTTGATACCCTTGGCCTTGGTTCCCTTGGCCTTGGTTTCCCCGGCCTTGGTTCCACTGTCCTCCTCGTCCACCGCCATTCGTGCCTCGCCCCCTTCCTCCACCCCTTCCTCCGTTGCCTTGATTGCCCTGGCCCAGGTTCCCACCTTCAGCCACGCTTCCCTATGAATTGGGAGCGGGCGACGACGGCGGGGCCATAGGCTGGGCCTGGGCTGCGGGGTAGATGGGTGGCGGCATACTCATTTGCAACCCCACTACTGGCGGCGGGTTACCCCATGGCACAAGTGCATTGATCACCGGCCAGGGCCACTGTCCGTAGGAGGGCGCCCCTCCTTGCGAGGGGCCCGCACTAGACGATGGAGCCGCTACATTTGGAGGGGCCACCGCCTGGGCCTGGGGCGCCTGCCCCTTTCCTGATCCTTGCCCGCCCTGCACCAAGTTACGCAGTTTGCGCTGGGCCTTCGTTAGGTGCAGCGACACTGGCTCTTCCTCTTCCCAGAGTTCCTCCTCAACGGCCTCCTCTACCACTGGCTCCTTTCCTTTCACCTGGACGACCGTCACTACCCTTCTCTTCACCACCGGCTCTGTCGCATACCCCAGCTGCGCCAGTACGTCTGTAACAATCCTCTTTACTCCCGGGGTCCCAGAAGCGGTCGCATCTCTCTCCTTTCTCTTCTGCCTTTGCAGGCGGTATTGACGTTGCTCCACCTGGTCCAAACATCCAACTTCCACCCCTCTGTCAATAGTGGCCCAAGTGAGCTTGGTGCTACCCCCTCCATGTCTCGTCAGCTCGACGGCCTCTGATGCCGTGAGTAGCCCCAGGAAGATGGCGCATTGTGCCTCCGCCGAAATCTCATGGACCTTCCACGCCCTCTTCTTGAACTCTTGGACAAACGCCCCTATCGTCGTAAAATCCTCTTTGTTCATTGCCTCAAGGTCCGCAGTGGTCAATAGCCCATCTCCCAGGCGGTACTTCCTCTGCATTCCCTCTTTGAATCTTTCCCAATTACCTTGGGCTGCATCTATAACTTTCTTCAGTTCTTGGTGGTAGTTGTGGAGGACATACTGAAGGATGCGTTGGCACTTTACAACGTCCGACCGCCCGACCAGAGCTTGTTCCACCCGCTCAAAAGCCATTCTGAGACTCCCTCCCCACAAAAATGGAAGGTATCGACCTTGGGGATATTGCTTGGATTCCTTTCATGCCGGTCGATGGCCGCGATGAGGTCATCGAGCGTCAGGCCCTTCTTGGGTGCACCCGATGCGCCGCCAGTCCCAGGCATCTTGACAGTCTTTTCTTTTCAAGTTCCCTGGCAAGAGAAAACAAGCACATCCCCTTATTCAACATTACACCTCGACCGGTCTATTCCACCCTCTTTACCTAACTCTTACCACATACTTTACTCAATACTAGCACAGTCGCCCCTCATAATTTCCCCTAACTTGGGCAGGTAAACTTTCTCATCTACACTTAGTCACTCATTATTTTTCTCCTTACTTTCTCATCATTCCTTTATACATTTTCTCATTCACTTCTCATACCCGGATGTCGTTCCACCAGGGACAACGGCAGGCTTTCCGTTATCCCCGGCAACGGCGCCACCTGTCGAGCGCATCGGTCCGGCACCGCACCAGGGCAGCGCGGGACCCTCCCGGCCGCGTCACGCAGGAGTTGGTTTTAAATCCTTCGTCGCAATGTACGTAGAGCTTCCTTATGCCACTCCGGCCGAGTGCGCCAGCCATACCTCTCGCGAGCCCCTACGACAGGATAGGGCCTACGCGAGGCATGACTTACCTCTACCTTACGGGAGCTGTCACCTCCCTTCGGTGGGCGTATCCCCGCCGAGCTACCAGTCCACAATACGAAAGTTAATCAGTTGCAATTGCAGAGGTGGACCAGCCAAGGGCGTTTGTCGTTCGCTGTAGCATAGGGGGTAAGCGCGGTAATACGCCTCTATCGAACCCGCACGCGAACCGACATCTTGGGGGGCTGAGGTCCCAAGCACGACTCGTCGCCGGTTGACTAGGACGTATCCCACACACCACGCGCACACCACTTTACGAACACAAAAATAAACCCCCCACACACACATACGAGACAACACAATATAAACAACGCGACAACGCTCCTAGCCCCTCGGTATCCGCCCCATAACTTCCTGATACGGAAATCGGATAGGCGTCGCACGTGAGACTTTAATATAAATCCGTGCAGACGCAGGGCTATCGCATATCGACTCGCAATGCCAACGTACGCAAGTAGTCGCAATGAAGGCGTACTATATGGTACCCATACTCACGCGATCCTTGTTAATCGCGAGGGTCGCGTTCGACACTAAAGTGTCAGCTGACACGCGCCTTGAGGATTAATCTCTCGATGCTGGACAACCGCCATGCGCGGTTGAAGACCACACCCTCTTCTGCACCTTGTGCAGAGGGGTTGATTAGACAACTTTAAGCTGTCGTGGCGGTCGAATCATCAAGGGGTTTGACTTTGACGGCTGCCACGGACTATAACGTCAAACTATAAAAACTCCAAAGAGCAAAAAAAATAAAGAATAGGCCGAAGGTTCCCAGCCTAGTAAACAAAATCATAACCCTGGGGTACCCTCCCTTCTTCGCGCGGCGTTGGCGGGCTATAATAATCTCAAACATTCGTCCATATGTGTCGGTCTCTTTGTAATCCCATAACTCTTTACACACTAGGGTGGTAAAACGTCGCGCGCGGAATTTTAATATAAAGTCGCGCAGCCGAGGGCCTATCTCATACCAACCCGCGATGCAGGCGTACACATGCAGGCGCAACGATGGCGTATTATGTAGTGCCCACAATCAAGCGGTCCCTCGTGGATCCGAGCACCACTTATGACACTCAAGTGTCAGACTCGAAGTGTTGTGGGGGTCTGATCCTTCACGACATTGCACGGCCGAAGGAATAGCCGTGCAGCCGCTATGAGACCTCCGGCCTTTGGTCTGAGCGTCTCGGTAGGCAAGGCAAATAGGCTCTGCGCGAGGGAAAACCCCTTCCCTGCAGAGCCTAGGGCTTGGGATGTCCTGGACAAGGACCTCGAATCC